GGGTGAAATCCCGCTTTATTGGCTCGGCTGGGCCACCACCCCGAGCCCTGAGTGTCCCAGCAGAGGAATTCCGGGGGTTTTGGGGTGAAATCCCGCTTTATTGGCTCGGCTGGGCCACCACCCCGAGCCCTGAGTGTCCCAGCAGAGGAATTCCGGGGGTTTTGGGGTGAAGTCCCGCTTTATTGGCTCGGCTGGGCCACCACCCCGAGCCCTGAGTGTCCCAGCAGAGGAATTCCGGGGGTTTTGGGGTGAAATCCCGCTTTATTGGCTCGGCTGGGCCACCACCCCGAGCCCGGTCCTGGCACGGGGGGGCACAGCACACGCGGGTCCCGGTCCCACGCGGGTCCCCGTTCCCACCGGGATTTGGAGCATCCATGGGAAGGGCCGAGGCCGCTCGCCACGCTCGTGGTCCCCCCGCGCCCCTCGAGGCCACCTCGCCTTCCCCGGGGGGGTCTGGAAGCCACCGGGACCCCCCCGGGACCCTCAGTCGGTATCGGGGTCCCCGGAGCCGCCGGCGGCTGGGGGGGAATCCGGCTGGGAGAAGGAAAATCGGGTGCTGGGTGGGGGGGCTACAAACCCTCCCCGGGGGTCTGGAGGGGCCGGAGGGGCCGGGACTCGGCCGCCCCTCCCCGGAGGGAGGGCGGTACCTGCGGCTGGGGGGGGTCCGGCTCGCAGAAGGCGGTTTCTGTGTCGTCCGCGGCCGGGGGGGTCTCTGGTCCCTTCCTCTCCCCCTGAAAGAGGGGCAGGAGCTGCTCCACGGGTACCCCAGAGCCGAGGGAGGGACCCCCAGGGACAGGAGAGGGACCCCAGGGGTGGGAGAGGGGCCCCAAGGGAGGGGAAGGACCCCCGGGGGGGGGAACCAGGAGGGACCCCCAGGGACAGGAGAGGGATCCCCAGGGGCATCCCCAGGGACCAGAGGGGACCCCAGGGACCAGTAGGACCCCTGAGGGTGGGAGGGGGACCCCAGGGACAGGAGAGGGACCCCAGGGACCAATAGGGACCCCAGGGACCGGGGGGACCCCAGGGACTAGTAGGGACCCTGGGGGTGGGAGGGGGACCCCAGGGACAGGAGAGGGACCCCGGGGACGAGGATGGGACCCGAGGGACCAGGGGGGACCCCAGGGACCAGGGGGGACCCCAGGCACCAGTAGGGACCCTGGGGGTGGGAGGGGGACCCAGGGACAGGAGAGAGACCCCAGGGACCGGGGGGACCCCAGGAATCAATAGGGACCCTAGGGGTGGAAGGGGGACCCCAGAGACAGGAGAGGGACCCCAGGGACTTATGGGGACCCCAGGGACCAGGATGGGACCCCAGGGACCAGTAGGGACCCCAGGGGTGGGAGAGGGACCCCAGGGCCAGGAGGGCTTTGGGGAAACTGAGGCCCAGGCTGGGACCTGGAGCCCTGGAGGGGCCGGGATGTGTCTCTGAGCCCTCCCAGCTCCCCAGTTCCCAGGAGAGGATCCCTGTCCCTGTGCCCCGGGCTCACCCGGGGGGCTGCGATTATCGGGGTGGTGTCGTGGGCAGGGGGGTGGTCCAGGACCCCCAAATCTGCAAGGCAAGGTGGGGTCACAGGGAGCAGGTCAGCGATGGAGCAGGGAAACACCCCTGGAAATCATGGAAATCCTTCTCCACCTGCTCATTCCCAACCTGGATGGATCCCACCTCACCTGAGGAGTCACTGCCAGCCACGCCTTGGTCCCGACTCCCTGTGGGCCCGGACAGACACGGGGGTTACAACAGCAGGACCAAAAGGAATTGGGAAAATCCCACCAAGACCCTCCTGGGAATAACCTGCCAAGGTCCAGTTTTGATTGATTTGCAGGAGGGGAGAAAAAAAAATAAAAAAAAAACCCCCGAGCCCCAGATTTGTGTGAACCCAGGAGGAGAAAACCCCAAAAGGGGGAAAGGGCAGAGCAGAAACCGAGAAATGCAAAATTCAGCAGAGGTGGGAATTTGGGACTCCTGGACTTTCAGAGCTGGATCCCAGCGAGGGGGAACCTCACAGGGCTCAGCTGTGGCCAAAGGGGTTTTTTTTTTTTTTTTTTTTTT